AAAAGGGTAAGCGAACCTCACCCGCTTCACTTCGAACGTATGGCACATGAAGCTCCCTCCAGTTCAATGCATGTAACTCAAGTTTGTTTTGATAACGTTGCTAATTGAGTTGGCTCTTTAGTCGCCGCACGATTGTACTTACGGCCACCCTGATGCTGCTGCACGCTAATGCATGAAGCCTTTGTAACGGTAATGCATGAAGTTATTAGACCCAGCCCACACCCACTAGCCCCTGCTTTTCAGCCGCGTCGTCTGTCCAAGCCAGCAGTGCTTGTCGTCCCAACCATGGTCACCTCACCGCAACTTAAAATGCCTATGCGTGTTCACACCCTCAGGCTGTTGAGAACCGTGTGCAGACGTGGTAATCCTGTGGCTTACCTGCCGGTCGGAGGGTCGTATTGACAAAGGCAATGCCAAAGTACGGATTGCCCGCCCTGCCATGGGGTGTAAGAACCAGTTTTGTGTCGATATTGCACACGTCCGAAGGCTTTCGTGACTGGGTGATACATACAACTGGTGCTCTCGGTGATACGCTTCCAACGCAAGTTGGATTATTGCTCAATTCGCATTTTAACGCACGCTGGAGGCTAATTGAGCCGGACCCTAGTCGTGACCATTTCAACTGTAGCCCCCTGCACTTCCTGTGCCAACAAGCAAAATCAAAGAGCCTAAGCTCATTGCTTTTCATCCCTTTCGGTTGTGATCCTGAAGACAGTCAACCTCAAATTCACCAGTAAGTACTGGTCAGAAAAGATGGCGAGCAGTCACTGGAATATATTCTTAACGTCTCCAGTATGGCTCACGGCCATGGCGCCCTTGGTCGCTGTTGGAACGTCGAATATTTTCATTACACACTTCAAAAATGTCTTGAAATGTTTGTCTAACGTCCACTTCCTAATAAAATGGGGATCGATTGTTTTCAGGATGAAACTTCTGTGAATTTCATGCCTGCCATAATCGCCTATACAAACATGAGATATCCTCCATATACCAAGGCCAGCGCATAGACTAACGGCAAATAAGGTCAGCGCCAGCTTGGCAGGCGGCGCTGGTATGTACATAACGCCGTGACACATGCATCCACTGTACAATCAACCCTGTTTGGAATCTCACGCTTTGCTATCGGCACGGATATCCGAGGTAAGCTATCCATACACATATCGCGCTGATTGGGCCCGCTGGTAGGAAGAGTGGGGAAAGAGTGCAAGCTCACAGATGATAACATAGAAATCGGCCTTCTGAAAGCCTCGCAGGCAAACGCCATTGACATAAGAAGGACCTTAACTAATATGTTTGGATTGTGTGCGTTGTCCTGTTTATGACAATCCACTTGCCATACGCCAAGTGGGACTCGTCGAAGAAAGGTGTCGAACAATCAACGAAATATGCTACGAAAGTGCTCAACATTTACAACCGTGCCCACAGACGCGGGTTCGACCCCCCTGCGCTTCACCGGCCCGAGAATCAGAGCGCAGTTCTGGCGCGAATGGCGCCGGAATTGGGACACAGTCACGCCACGTCTCACGAGACCGCGGAACGAACGACGCAAACCATCGTACGATGTGACGTCACGGGCGGGGGCAGCGAGAATAGGCCTGAGTCATGAGGAGCCGCGAGGCCCGATGGCGGCTGGCGCCTGACTTCGACCGGTGGATGACGGGGCGGATGTCCGCACATTTAGCAGCAGTTGAAGTCATCTACGACGAAGGGGCCCGGTCCTCCACTGCGGTGGAGGACCGGGTCCGCCACGATGATGACAAAGAAATCATACTAGCTTGGAATGGGAAGTCATTCCTCTGCATGGCAAACATTTTGATTCCACGAAATATGAATAGCTTTTATATCTTAACATCCAGGATACAACTTAAAGTGGACGAAATCCGAATAGAAATCAGGACTCGAAAGAAAGAAAGGTCAAACTTTTTGACTGAGCCCCCATAACTGATCTGAGAGAGGAACACACCTGGTCTGAAAAGATTTCAGTACCCTTATTCGGACCGCGATTTATCGCATAGCTTAAAAGGTCTCTCCATGGATGCTATTCATTACGTTAATCTCTGTTGTCTTTTAGCTCCATTAGAGTTTTGTTGGCCAGACATGTACTCACGTGCATCGAGTGCCTCCAGGAAGCACGGCACGCTCTATCTCGGCGGCCCTTGACCTCCCGAAGAAGCCAAACCATCCCAGATCCACAGGCAGATAGGCTCTGGATGAATAGTTGGGAATTTTTCGCGAGGGTATGTCTAAGCGGTAAACACAATTTAGGCATATTTGGCGTAACATCCGTCACAGACTGTGACGTTCCGTGAGCCTTTTTAGTCGGAATTAGGTCCGATTTGGACTTTCGGTAGGCCTTTTTAGTCGGAATTTGGTCTGGCTTGGACTACCTTTCCTGGATCAAGTCAGGATCGTATTAGAAGCGCACTGAAACTCATATCGAGTGGAAATATACTAAATTTGCTATGCATTTCGTTGCATAGAGCTACAGCGTTCGTTGCAGACTGATAAGATATGAAGCGCGGAGACCTGACGGCGAGTATGAAAACTACATGGCATATCGGAATTGTCGGAATATGACAAACAGATACGTTACTTTTCCGTAAACGTGTGCAATATTGGTGCTTTGCTACGGAATGCAGATTAAAAAAACCTGATAGCTGTAATCGTCGACTTCCTCTGTCGTTCAAGTGCCAGAGCGGCTGTCCAAACAGATGGGGCGCTTCTGAGATGCCCCACGTGCCTTGTCAGAGAACTTCAAGAGTGTGTTATCAGGTGTGATAAACAGGGTAAAGCTTCTTAGCTTAACTTTTCACGACGATATCAGAAGCCCGTAAGTAAGATTTCATTCAGACGTATTTCTTCTCCCCAGCGTCAGTTCCAGGGCGGTGCCACCGGATGGACAGAATGGGGTAACATTTTTGTTTTTACCTATCCCGAACTTGCGTGATGCCTCTCAAAAGTCGTGATGCATCCAATGTAAGCAGCGATGACGCAATCGGAAGGCACGACCCGGAGCCCGTGATGTGATGCGACGTGATGACGTAATGTGATGATCAAGGCGAAAGGCAGGAGACCCTCTTCAAACCAAGATGGAGCCGCTTCTGGGACTAGAACCAGACCTCTACCGCGCATGAAGCGGGACTCTTTCGTGATCAAGGAGGAGACTTCATCGGTATGGAGACTTCGGCGTGGACATCTTGGTTAGTTGTATGGTGAGCCATTGGTGATGCACTGGAAAATAAATGATGTCATTTGACATATGCTTGCTATGGTTTCTCCTTCACTTCTGAAAGGGCTGTCTCACCCAAGCTTTAGAGATAGGCTCTGTTCTCGTGCTCCGCTCCGGGTTCCTGCACGATAGGTGCAGGCACGATTAAACGTCGCAGTAGGAAGCAACTAAGACATAATTCAAGACCGTAACTTGCTGGAGGGCCCTTTCAGCTTGAGGAAACCCCTTTCCTCTGGAGGTTTGCCACGATTAGTAAACTGTCCAGTATCAAAAGTCCGCAGCACCTCACCTGGCTGAGCCAATGACACGATGGTCCAATGCGTATTATATGCGCACCCCGTGGGTCTAGTAGATCTAACAGCACCACACTGGCTGTGGTTTTGGACAGGCTAAACTGCCGGTTATCAGAACTTGTTGACGTGGACAGTTGAATGCAGAATAGCAGAGGCTTTACCCGCGTCCCTGCCAACGACGTTCTGATATGCTCGTGCGCTAAAATACTTACCGCATGTGTAAGTATAGATACATCATTCGCCCCGCATGGGCGAATGGTGCTGGAAAATTTGTAGCTATTTTCATTACTGCGTTGTCTTTCTCTTCGCTCGACCAAAAACTAACCTACCAATGCGTGTTAAATCAGAACAAACATTGCATTGTACTCTTATCGCCGGCAACAGCGTGCCGTTGCTCCGCCCCTGACTCTTCAGCCTTGCCTACATCGTTCATCTCGCTGCGTGGATCTCAGCGCCTGCGCTGGCTGTGAAAAGGTTGTTTGCGGGATTAAAGGGAATGTTCCACTTTTGACGATATTGAGACAAGGATCAGACATGATGGGAAAAGCTTACTTGTAACTTTTGGTAAGCTTTCAAAGCTCAAAAACGACCCTAAGTAGCACGATTTTAAAGTTTGTAAAAATGCGCCCCATTACGTCATTGTTTGATGGAGTCATGGAATCGTTTCGTGACGACGGCAATACCTGGCAGCACCTGGCAGCCAGACCTAAAGAATACCTGGAAATGTAATTGATAAGCAATGCTTTGATAGGCAAGGCAATGCCATTGTTGGTTTATGCCACCGAGCTTTTTGCAACTAACAACATATGCAAAAGACAAGAAGTAGTTTGTGGTGCACTATAAGCCGATTTGTGTCATTTTAATTTCACCACGTTGCCTGCGTTCAAGTTCACATATCATACCAGTAGAGGCTTAACACCAAGGCTCCTGCGTACCATGAGTGAGGGACTTTTTGGCTCCAAAATCCCGCGGAAGTTTGCTCGCGTGCCAGTAAACTCATTTAAAGACAACTCATTGATCTCTTAGTTGATCTGGTAGTTGAACACGTAGTTTGTGCGTCAGGGCGCTCAACATTGGCATGGTTGATACCTTTCCCCTTCGCGGATCCTGCTCATGACGGATAAGTTTTGGGGCAAGTCACTCACGGCAAACACCGTTGCCCGGACACGTAATTAAAGAACTAGTGCACCTCACGCCATGCATGCCACATGCTCGAAGCACGCCAGCACTTCCGCCAACAGCGCGGCCAATGACGCCACCCTTAGCCTGGAACTGGAATCATCCACACCCCGTCCCCGTCCTCCTGCCGCGCCATGCGCCACACCCACAGCCCGCCTCCCGCGCGGCGCCTTCGCGGGCCGGCGTCCGTCCGGGGGCACAGCTGGTTGAGCCGGCCTACGATCACGCCACTACGGTGAGCCAACGCGCACGCGGCGGGCGCCGGCCGGCTCAGGTGATCGGCCCAGTCAGAGCGCGACGCTCCGCCCGGTCGCCCGCCAGCCGCTCGGACCGCGCCGCGCCAGCGCCACGTAGCAGTCCCATGATGACCGCGCCCACCGTGGTCCGCCTGCTGGGAGCGGCGCTCCTGCTCGTGCTGAGCAGCCACCTTCAGGGAGCCGACGGTGAGTCCCGATTGAGGCCACGGCCGCCCAGGGTCGCGTCCGCCGGCGTCGACCGTGCAAACCGTCCGCTGCGTTTGAAAGTGGGGCGCGTCGCTTACAGTCGCCGGCGGTCAAAGGTTCGCGTGCGACGTGGCCGTCTCACGTGCCGTGACCTGTCTGCCACTCCGGAGCGTGATGAATCCCGTCCCGACACCCTGCCGCCCGGTTTGACCGCTCGCTAGCCCTCTGCCGCGATGTTCTGCTGCTCTCTCTCGAGGCCGGTTCAGACGCGTGGGGCTGGCCGGCGGCGACGGCGGCCCCACGTGTCGGCGCCGGGGTGGGAGCGGTCGGCCTTGCTGGCGGCGCGGTCCGACCGTGCAACGGCCGGCGCGCCGCCCGAGACACCGTCCGTCCCGTGTTTATCTCCGATACTTGATCTCTCAGACTGCCACCGTCCGCGCGATCATTCCTGACCGGCCAGTGTAAACAGACCGGGCAGGCGCTGGCGCGGGCGCTGTGCTCCATGGGCCTTGTGGCAAGAATGCGACGAATCTGGTGACCGACGTGCAGCGGCGCCCGGCGGGCGGCGGCCAGGGCCGAGCGGCGCGGGGGCGTGGCCCCCTCCGGCGCAGCTGACCGCGGGGTCGTCTGTGATCCCCCCCCCCTCGGTCTGGGGCCTGGCCTGGGTGCGCTCCCGGCGGTTCTAAATGGCTAAGTGGGCTCTGGAAACTCGCCAGAACGACCCTCCTGCGAGATTAAGCGACGTTGGCCGTTTGCGGGCGCTTGCGCAGCGGCCTTAAAGCAGGCCGAGAATGACCGTCCTTGGCACGCCCCCTGCTCGACCCGCCGCGCCCCCTCCCGACCCGCCGCGCCTCCACACTGGCTTCGACCTCCGACCTGCTGCAGCCGTCGGCTAAATAAAAACTGGCGGGAATTCAGCACCGCCTGTCCGGACTGACGTCAATTTTGCGAGCCTGAAATAAACAGGCAGCCTGTCCCAGCAGCAAGGTTGGCAGCCGGTAACGGAATGATGCGCACGTGGCGGGCGAATAAGTTTGTTTTTTTGTGACGGCACGAGGCACTTACTGTTCCCCCTGTCAACAAGTGACTCGCGGGTTACCGCCCAGATCAACGTTGCGGCGGCTTTGCGGTTGCGAACAGTGTGCCGCCGCTCGCATCATGTTTCCTCCCCGCTCTTTGTCGTCGCAGCGTTTCGGAAAGCTGGCTGTCATTGTTTACATTCGTCGAGATTTACACCCACACGGCATGCTTTGTCAGCCGGCGCGGGGCCTCCGCGACGTTGGTCCCGCCCCACCCGCTACCGTTCCCCCACGCGTCTCCCCTCGCACCCGCCCTCCTCCGTCTGGTCGGCTAGTCAGCTCGTCGGTCCGCATCTGCCGGCTGTTGTCGGCGCCCCGCCGCCCCGTCGCCCCTCCGTTCGCACGATCCCGGCTGCGTCGGCGCCCGTTGTCCGTGCAATCCCTGCTGTCTCGGCGTCCTTCGTCCGTGCGATCTCTGCTGTGTCGGTGCCCCTCGCCCTTGCGATCCCTGCTGTCTCGGTTCCGTTCGTCTGTGCCATCCCTGCTGTGCCATCCCTGCCGTGCCAGCGCCCCTCCACCCGTGCGATCCGTGCTGTGTCGGCGCCCTCCGCTCGTGCGATCCCTGCTGTGTTTGCACCCCTCCGCCTGCGCGATCCCGGTTGTGTCGGCACCCATCCGCTTGCGCGATCCCGGCTGTGTTGGCGCCCTTCGCCTGTGCGATCCCGGCTGATTCCCGCACCGCGCCTGCAGGTCAGGCCGTCTGCTCGTCACTACAGTTCGCCTGCCAGAACAAGCGCTGCATCCCGCGCTCGTGGGTGTGTGATGGCGAGGACGACTGCGGAGACAAGTCCGACGAGCAGCCTGACATCTGCGGCGGTGAGTCGGCGCTCGCCCGCGTGATTCGACCGCTTGCCCGCGTGAGTCTGTCACTTGCCCACGTGAGTCGGCGCTCGCCCGCATGGTTCGACCGCTTGCCCGCGGTAGTCGGCGCTCACCCGCATGGTCCCACCACTCGCCCGCGTGATTCGACCGGTTGCCCGCGTGAGTCGGTCACTCACCTGCGTGAGTCGGCGCTCGTTCGCGAGTCGGCGCTCGCCCGCGTGGTCCCACCGTTCGCCCGCCTGAGTTGGCGCTCGCCCGCGTGGCACTGCCGCCCGCCCGTCTGAGTCGGCGTTCGCCCGCCTGTCAGCGCTCGCCCGCGTGAGTCGGCCGCTCGCCCGCGGCAGCCTCTCGTCCGAATGAAGATGTTTGCCCCCTTCCACTTCCACTCTTGCGGGCGAATGCATGGATGAAACGAGGCTGTGTGTAGAAATAGTTGTCCTTGAAAAATTTCAGAAAATTGGAATTATATCTCTGGCGTTCGATGACGAGAATGGACCCATGTTTGTGCATTTCGGACAGTCCTAATATTCCATACGCACCCTTTCTGCTCAAATCGCCCTTGGGATAATGACAGTGTTGCACAGACCGCACTTTGCGTGTTTCCCTGTGGTTGAGCATAACACAGTGTGGTGGCGAGAAACAATAATTTCATGCCGGACGTATTTTACGAGATGAATTGCTTGTCAGAGATGCATGAAGACTTAAGGCATATGTGGCTGCCCGGACAAGGCTGAGAAATTTTATAGACGATATGATGATTTGAATTTTGTCCATGTGTTATTGCACCATTTGAATCATATTTTTTTCTCGATTTTAATCTGTTTCTTGCCACCGCTCTTGAAGTTCGGCATATATCCAAGCTGAATCTGTCTGTATGCCAGACTATGGTGATTTCCGAGCCTTGAAGGCTGGTGGTCCTGGGCCCGGCTCCCGCTCTGGTGCAGCGACAGGGCAGTGGCCTGCAACGGCCCGCGACTTCCTCTCATCCGCCCGCCGGTAGATTATGTAGCTCCTCCCCGTCTCGCGTAAAGGCCTGCTTTGCCTCAGATTTGTCAGAATCCGCGTCAACCCGCACGCAAGTTGACGTGGATTTGCGGCGAGGTCAGTTATGGCGCCTGGGAGGCATTCCATCGTAAGGTTAGGCATGGGCGTGCGGAGCGGCCTCAGACGAGTGTCCGCTTTAATTCGGGGAAGGGGGGGGGGGGGGAGGACCTGCTATTGGCTGACGTACAATAGGTGGGCGCCTCTCGGCTGTCGGAGTTTTGGTGGATAAAGTCGTAACATTTTCCGTAATTTATCCCAATTGCCTGAAAATATCACGTAGTGGGCCCTGATTAGTAATGCATACTTTTCGTGGATATTCTACCTCCTTTGGTGACTCGTGTTCATTTCCGGGTAAAGCGTGTATTTACATTACTGGCCATAACACGCTCACCGCCGAGCGGGGCCTGTCATCTTTGAATTGAGGGGATCTCGGAACTGAAGTCCGTCTCGCTCTCGACGATAACGCCGTATCTGAACGGCCCAGCTGCTGATCTTAAGTGTTCAGTTTACCTGTGAGTTCCGGGCCGTTAGGGCCCGGCTGGATGGGGGAGCTCTGGTTCCCGTCGCAGCCAGGCAGGCTGGCAGCCAGCCAGGCAGCCAGGCGGCGCCCGAGCGGCCTTGCGTGTCACCGCGCTCATCTTCAGAGACTCGTGCCATTCAGCCCGGCCCACTGCATTAGCGTCCATCCCAATACGCTGCGGCGGAAAGTTTTCAGAATCGATCACTCGGCCGGCTTTCAGGCGCGTGTTATCTCCGATGCCCCCTGGCAAGCGAAGGTCGGCCCTCGGCGACCGGCCGGGCGCGGCGGCGTGCCTCTCAACTGACTTCTTTGGCCGTCGGCCTGGCGCGGCTCGTCTGACGGGCCGCCCCCGCCCCGATCAGATGGGTCGAGGGGGCGGGGGTCACGCGGACATCGCCGACGACGAGGTCCTGATGTGCGCGTCGCCGGCGACGTTTGGGGCGCGGCCAGCCGACCCGGGCCAAGGATGGCGGGCACGTGGCCGGGGCGCCGCCGTCTAAATCCGACCTGGCTCCGGCGCCGCGCTTCGCGGGCGGCTGGCTCTGACCGGTCACAGGGCGGGGGTGCGCAGCCCACGCCGGCCGAGACTCACATGAACAACACCGATCGATGATGCCGCCGCTCTTCGTGGGATGGCCGCCAGCCGCCGGCGCCGGCGGGGTTGCAGCGCTGTCGCCGTTCCGTGACGTCAGCGTGAACCATTAGCAAAATATCCGGGATTTCGGCCGCGAACGCGGGTATTTCCGATGGTCCGGCGGACGGCTCTCGGCGGGGGCGCCGGGGCTCGCCAGCGCCGCTCGATGTCGCCCGCGAATTATGTAACGCTTTCGTGCACTCCAGGGCCCGGAAACATGCGCTGGTCCGGGAAGGTCGGAAGCGAAGCCTCAGCCGCGAGACGGACACTGCGAACTACCATGAACTGAGCTGCTCAGATGGTGCACTGAATACGGCTGAGCGGTGCTCAACGAACGAACCTCACTCGGGCCAAGGTCCACTCGTTTAAAATGCATTTCCGTCATTGCGTTTTTATGTTTTCGCGAATCCGGATGCGAGCAGACCACCCAGGGTCTAGTGCTTGCCCATTTATTTATTTACACATTTATTTACTTACGGTTACTTGCAAGTGCCTGGTGAGCCGTTCCCTCCTATTCGCATCTTTTTTATCCCATCTGTTACCTTTATATATTCAAACGTGCCACAATCACTAGTTACATTCGTATCCCATTTACCAATTTCCTGACATAAACTCTGATCGGGCAAGTCAATTTTCGTCACACCCTTGACAATGGGCGTGCCTCGCTTTCCTGGATATTCGAAGGTTGCCATATAGGGTAATTTTGCCGCCTTGCACGTTCGCTCACCATCTGGCAACTCCACTTTATACAGGCACGCCCGCCCGCCGCATTCCGCCCTGCAGGATCCATGGCGCGTGGCCCGCTGGCGAGCCGCCAACAGGCCGCCCGGCCCCTGGCTGACGCGACCAATTGACTGGCCGCGCGGCCGTCTCTCATTGGTCGAGGGCGAGTCACACCACCGCGCGACGGCCGAAGCCGCCGACGCAGTGGCGTGCACCTGGGTGACGTCAGGAGGTGCGGCCATCAGCTGATCCTACCCGGCCCGCCACAGCACGTGACGTGGCGGCGCCACCGTGTAGGCGGCGCTAACGGGAGCTGAGTTTGGCTACGTGCTCCAAGGTCGGCGCCAGCGGCGGTGCGTCTGGAGGTCGAAATCGTAAGGACTTCAAACACTGGCCTAGCCGGGATTTCACTCGAGGTGGGGTCAAATCGTTTCCCAGGGCGTTTTCAGGGAACTGACCTCTCCTTCGTCGCCTTGGGGTCCCGCTCTTATTAAGGGGGAGCAGCTTTAGGCTCTGGATCCTATTTAAATGCTTGGGGAGGGGGGAGCCCGCTCGTTGCACTTTTGAGCACCTCCTGGACGTTTTGGCCCCAAGAAAGCGCCGCTGCCTCTTCGTAGGATGGAGGGATGACCTCAAACGCTTCCTCTTTGGCTACGTCCTGACTTCAGCGGCGCAGTTTCCTCGTATGTCACGCGTGAGCAGCCCACATCGCGTCGGACAAGATAACGCCCAAATAAATCTCTAAAAGTGGAGCTGAGAAAGTTCTTTGTTTTGCTTACAAACGGAAGCCCAGCTCGCACAAAATTAGGATCTGCTCCAACTGTTGGCGAAGAGCTTGCGCGGAGAGCAAAATCAAACTAGCTGGCTCGCACGGCGGTGCCGAGAGGGGCGATCCCCTCTCGGCGGGACGCCCCTCATCAAGTTGCTGTCGGACGCCGTGTGCGTTCCCGGGAGCGCGTCAATCGACCAGTCGCGTGTCGCCCGGCCGACACTGTTTGATCGGACTTTGCAGACGGGCGACTGCGTCCGTCTTCCCATCAGCACCGGACGCCGCTGACCGGCCGATAAATAGGCCGTGTGTCGCGATGATTGTGATCGATACGGCCGCGTCTGGTCCGCGCCGCGCCGCTGGCGCGCGCGCGCGCCGGCAGCCCGCACCAGCGCTCCGCCGGCAGCCCGGCGGAGCCCCGCGCCGCGCGTCACCCCTCCCCGGAGCTGTCACAGCCAGGCCGGACGGGGGCCGCCGCGGAGCGCTCCGAGCGGGGGCGCTCGCCAAAAGCGGCACGGCCGTCCGGGCCGCAACGGAGGCGATCGCTCACGACGGCGGCGACGGGCCGTGTTGGGACGGCCGGCCGACGGCGGCGCCATACACGGACGGCGGCGGGCTGCCGCTGATGCGGCGTGCAGGGACTCCGCCAGGCGCCGTGCCCCGCCGAATCGATTTTCGATGTGGCGTCTCCCTGACGTCACATGGCGCCAGCGGGCCTGGCGCCGGGGGGGGGGGGGCGGCCCCTTCTGGAGGATGTGTTGATATGCTCGGCACGCGCTTCACTGCTGAACCCGGAATCGTCAGCGAACGGTCACGTAGTCCTCGGAAATGACGCCACCTGGGCTGAGCTGGTCTGGATGCGGTCTTGCCGTCCGCCGATGGTGTTTGTCGGAAACGGCAGGCGTCGGCGTTGGACAACGGAGGGACGTAATGAGGCGTGAGAGGGAAACAACCGTCGCTCCACATTCGCGGCATCACTTGGCGCTGTGGAGCCAGAACGAGGCCAGTCAGCTGCGCCACCACCGGTGTGCTCGATAATGCAGCGACGGCGTGCATGTTTACAGCGGCGCGGGAAAGCCAGCTCAAGCCGGGCAGCGGTGCATGGGCAATGGACTGAGTATTCGGCCGTCACTGTATTTGACGGCGTAGGGGAGCACCGGACCGCTTTGCATCAAGAGTTGGATGCGTCGGATGTGATGGCCAGTGAGACCGTGCAGCTGGTGCAGCCACAATGCATCGGATTGACCGCCAGTGCTCTATACGCTTTCTCAGACGTACCCTTGGTCCCAGATTTGGCGCCTGTT